GGCACAAGTCTTTCAGACAGCTGTTACAACTCTGTGTCTTGCCTTGAAGTGTGCTGGATCCAAGGTTACTTTCTGAGGAGCTGCTGTAACCCAACCGAGCTTTGTAGCTTAGTGCCCTGGGGTGAAGTGTTCTGGCATGTCTTCTGCCAGGAGTGAAACTACAGGTTCAAAATGAGTCATCTTAGCATTACAGTTGATGAATTTGAGTACTGGCCAACAAAGAAATACTGCTTTTTGCATATGTTCTTTTTTTTCTTTCATGAGGTTAGGTGCATTCTCTGTATAGATGGCAATAGTACATTTTTTCTGCTCGTAAAAATTTTCCATGCATTTTTATCTTTTTTTAGACAACTGATGTGGCTTAGATATTTCATAGGAGCAAGTATCTTAGGTCACTTGCATCTGCAAACAATTGCAGCTAATACATGTATGTTTTACTTTTTAACTCTGCTTTGCACCGTGTACCCTACCAACCAGGGAGCATCCGTGCTGGGCAGCCTCAAGGGATTCTTCCCTTGTGTTGAACCCCTGCTGTCTGCATGTGCAGGGTCTTTGCAGAAGTGGGCTGAGACTTTACTCCTGGGTTTTCTTATCTGTGAGAAGAGACTCGTCCAAGCCTTTGGAATATCTGTTGAGAGCTGGCAATGGTGTTGGTACAGGTCTTCTGATTTCTTGTGCTAGGAGTATGGCATAAACTGACAGTCCCTTCCCTGGGACTGTTTTCTGTCTCCATTAAACACTGCCCTGCTCTCTTGACGCAGTTCTTAATTTCAGTTACTGCAGCCCCGCATGTCTAGAATGGGATGAGGCTCATTACATCCCTCCACCACACTTGTTGATGGCTTGTCTTGGGGACTGTTCCTGGAATGATTCCCTTCAGAGTCGCATTTCAGTAATGCTGAAGTTTGTCAGGACAAAAGTTGGTTCCAGTAAATGAAGGGGATGAGCAGTCAGTCTTACGTGGTCCTGCCTCCCCTTCATTATTAACACCCCCTCAAGGACTGTCGGGACAACTCTTGTCATTTTGCTCCTCCTTTTATCACAGTAGAGGTTCCCTACCAAGACTGAAACAAGTCTTCAGCATCACTTACATTCCTGCAAGGACTATAGCTTCTCTAATAAAATGAAGGCAGGACTTTAGGCTTATTCTGCCATATCTTACATTGGTGTTGAAATGATGCAAATATTTTTTTCACAGGGTGAACATCCAGCAAGGCTGTACCGAATGAGTCAATTAGTGGATCTCCCAGCTTACAATGAAGGTAATATATTAAAGCACCTACAACAGGGATCTGGTGTCAGTTGGGCGTCAGGCTCTTACAGTGTACTTAATCATTCATGCACTGCTGAAGAGACACTTGCTGATGTTTCCTGTTAGTAATGCACATTTGGTTAGCAAAACTTTGGGACTTCCTTTGTGTCAGAATGTCTGCTTAGAAACGTGTCTGAAGTTAGTGACGCACCTTGGGGATGTGTGGGGAAATCCTGCTGCAGAAAACAGAGTGTGAATACTGAACGTGAGAAGGGCAGGGACAGATACTTTTATTTTTGTAAAAGTATAAGGATTTTACTTGTAGCTTGCACGTAATTAATTACACTGAGATTCAGTGCAGGAGGGGGAGGAAAAAAAAAATCGTCCATACCTTCATTTCTGGCCTGGGGTCTTGGCTGGCTGCCTCAGAGGATAGGTGGGTGGGAGTCCTCTGTGTGAGTGTGTAAATAAAAAACAAATGACCAAAAGCCCTGATCTCAACTTGTTGCCTGGCCAGTGTCTAATTTCATACCATAGAACTTACATCGTTATGGATTGCATACAATTTTTCAGACAGACTTTGTATGCGGTCAATTGATCTGAGATATGGGATGTGTAAGTAAGTCACTGAAAGGGTTTTGGGGGTGTGTATGTGAGGCTGTGTGGTGTTTTTCTTCCTTTTTTGTGTTTCTACATCAAAACACTGGGCGTCAGAGGAGATATTAAACTATTTGTGTCAAATCCATCATCAGTTGAAGATCAGAGTGATAAAAGCAAGAAAATCTGCAGTGTAGCAATAGTATTTCTTTGTTAAAGTGGGACAACGTCTTCCACATTGATTTCTCATGGCCTTTTGAGACTGCTCTGCTCTCTGTTGGATGGCTGTATGTCTGTGACAGTGGCAAAAGCAGCCGTCCCAGCTGCGGGAACTGAAAATACTATTGCTTTTTGAACATCAGGGCTCAAGTTTAAAGTCATTTCAGTGACAGCTTTAGGTACTTTAAATATTTGCTGTTATTATACTTCTATTGTGCAACAGTGAGACACCGTGTCTGTCAAACACTAGGTGCACTTGCTGCCTGAAAGAATGACACAGCCTTAGAAAATTGTGGGGAGATTAAAAAAAAAAAGGCAAAAAAAAAAAAAAAAAAAAAAAAAAAAAAAAAGAAAAAAAAGAAAAAAGGAAAAAAAATAGGAAAAAAAAGAAAAGAAAAAAATATTTCAGACTGCTTTCCAATGCTGATGAGGTAAAACCCAACCTACCTACAAACCCCAAAATATCTTGTTCCCTAAACATATAATCCAGATACTGGATAAATTGCCCATCCTGGTCACCTCACAAGAGGCAACAAAACCTCTTTTTGAACTTAGTAAAATTTTTAGCATTAGGTATTTGATGATAGCAAACTACATTAAGTGTGATATGGTTGTCTTGAATATAAACTTTGAGAGTTGAAAGAACAATTGAGAGAAAAAAACCTATAGGAATATTGCTTTAATGATGAAAAAAGAAAAAAAAAAAAAAAAAGCAAGCTGGATGTGCTGCCTGGGAGGGCCAGCCTGAAATTTGTCAGTGGCTTCCCTGGCTAAAGCTTGCTTGTGAAAATTCCCTACTAAGCTAATGCTTCACTGATGAAAAATTCAAGCGGTGGCTCTGCCTGTCCTCTCATACCCTTCCTGTTCAGGATTACTGATGCTTTTTGCCTTTTAAATCTCCCTGATGTTGCTGAGGCTTGAATTTGGCCTTTAAAATTCTAAAATCCTCTTTGCTGTCGTTACCCCATAACAATAGTTTCTTCTGTGCTTTGATTTTTAGGAAATGGGAATTCCCTGGTTGTGTTCCCGGCTGGGACTGGTGCTGTGCTTGGTCGCTGGCGCTACTGTACCTGCTACGCTTACAGCCCAGCTGGGATGGAGCAGCAGAAACAGAGAACAGGAGCTGCTTTGGTATGGGGAATCCTAAACTTCCCTGGGCTGGAAGCTGTGGCGTGTCATACTGGGCATTAGACATGCAAATACTTGTACGTACATAGACAGAGCATCTGTGCCTTTTGGTTTTTTGTTTTTAATTTCCCAAGGGGAAGTACCTCTGGCTTCTAGTTTGCGTGTTTGGCAGTGCTGCTGTATTGCTACACTCTTTCTTTTCCCTAGGAAAGCCACGTGGTTCCTCGATGTAACTGTGCTTTAATTTTGCAAGTTTCCTATTGTATTAGTTTATTAGCATTGACCTCAAATCTGTGCCTTTCTCAGGTTCCCTCTCACTGGTGCGGAGGAGCCACTGGGCCACTGCCTCAGCCTCGGCAGCACTAAGTGCTCTGGATCCTCCTGGGGGGTCTGTGAGGACTCACCCCCTCAAGAACAGGCCCTGCACCTCCTCTGCTGCAGAACTGAGCAACAAACTTCTGAAAAGACACCAGGTACCGACATGATAAAACTTTTTGGGTTTTGTATTCTCTTTCCTATTTATATGTATGTTGACTCCTCAGGAATGCTTGCCAGGAGATACACGCACTAGCCAGGTTTATAAGAATATAAATTGGTTTTTTTTGGGAGGGAGGGAAACCTCTTAAGGGAATGTAACAGCTTACAGACATTTAAATTTCCAAGTTATTTTCCCTGCCCCATTTCCACGTGGGGAGGTAAGTCTTAAAACATCCCAGCTCCTCTCCTATAAAGCCTGATGGTCTCACAGGCCTCAGATCCTAGACGCCGACTGTATTTCCAGATCTGGGAGACATTATGTATGTCAAAGTTTTCGCTGTGGTCCAAATAGCTCAAGAGCAGCCTTTGTATGGAATACAAAGCTGTGTTGCCACACTAATACTGAAGTCACTGAATATTTATGACTTCATAGCAACACATCTGCAGTATTTGTGGGAGTGTTTCTAACAGAAAGGGGGTTTTCCCCAGAGAATCAGCCCATTAAAATAGAATTTTAATTAGCCTAAAGCTGTATGTGGGATACAAACTTGTAAGATTCTGTCATTATTTTAAAATCCCAACATTGTCTTTTTGGCTTATTTTTATTTGTAACATTTCTTGTCACAATAATTTGTTGAAATTGGAATAATAATATGACTCTTAAGACTTTTAAGTCTGAACATCAAATCCCCTCCCCTCTTCCAAATTTGGGTGTCACATTAATGTGTAGTTAAGGAGCAACATTTATTTATGAGTATCTAAGTAGTTTTTTGTTTTTCCTAACAGGTTTAAGTGCGAGCATCTCTTGGTACATGCAAAGCAAAGATTCAACGCTACCGAGAGCTTGAGGGGAGGCTGCAATGAGCAATTTGGGTTCCCAAAGATGTCTGTGAATAATGCACCGTTAAGAGGTTAGTACAGATGAAGATCTCTGTGGAGGCAGTTCTGGCCAACAGCACATTCACTGGCTTTTTAAGAAGGCTTGTGCAAAGCTCTAATAACCAGGGTGGGGAGAGTCTCTTTAACCTCCTACTTAGCTGAAAGGCAAAATATTCTCTCCTACCCTCTGCAGGTTGGATGAGAGCTTTTTCTTTCCCCTTTTTTTGTGTATGAAATAGGGCAAGTTGTCTTGCATACTCCTCTGGCGTCACACGCTCACTTAGATTTTTGCAGTATATATCACTGTGGGAATGCAAAGCATTAGACCCATTAACCATATTCGTTCCTTTACTTTTGCTGTGTAAACACAGTAGAGATTCTTCTGGTTTTGGTCTGGATATCACCTTAGGCAACTTACTTATTTAACAAAACACAATTTCCTTGTAAATCTGATTCTTGTAATCACTTTAATGCATTAGTAGATCATTAGTACTGATTTACATAGTTTGACTTTAGAAATTAGCTTTACTTTGAGTACAATTATTTAAACTAGTAATGCAGTACAAGTATTATTCCTAGGAAAGATAAATTTATATACAAAGTTTATACAAAGATGTCTCAACAAAAAGTAAATACTAAATTTTATGTATTGTAACTTCATAATCTTCATAACTTTTCATTATCTTCCTCTCTTGTTCATAAAATCTACTTTTAAACAACTACCAAGCATTACAGAAAAATTGAAATGAGTTTAAAAATCATTAACCAAAGCACACAATGTATCTTTTGTATAAATCCTCAGCTGTCACCTTGAAAAATAATTAAAAAAAAATGGCAAAGAAAAAAATGTAAAATTCAGTGCAGAATTTACAAGAAGTCTTATTAATTTGCTTTAGTGATACTGGATTTCTTCCAGACTTGGCCCAGGTGAGAGGTTCCCAGCCAGCAGAAGTGCAGCGCGGAGCACGCAGCCAGGCCCAGCACGGAGCCCTGTGGGACGCCCAGCAGAGGAACCAGCCGCCGAAGCATCGCGCTGTAAGAAAGAATGAAAAATTCCTGGTCACGTTTGTTTAGAATAAAATCAAACACTGCGTTAGAGAATCAAGACCACGGTCTACTTCAGATCCACCAGCTGGATCTTGGCTCCGTTATTCTTCTCCCCTCTCACATCAGGGAAGTGCGATGATCTACAGGTAGGCATAAGCAACAGAGCTAAAAAATCTGCACTGCAGTTGGAGGCTCGACTGTTTGGAGAGCCAGAATGTATGAAATAGAAATGTAGGTTTTGAATGGTTTATCTGCAATTTTTTGTAATAATCAAAAATCTCCCTGTGATTAGTCAGTTTTTTTACAAGAAAGGTCCAGCCCTCCTAAGAGATATAGACTGTATTGTCGTGTACACCACTTAATGTAGTTCAGCACTTTTAGAAAGAATTATGAAGTCTTAAAAAAAATTAAAGACAAGACTTCCTTGTGTTGAGTTTGTACTGAAAGCATAAAATTCAGACATGTAATTAGTTTCTCAGAGGACTTTAAAATTTCACCTCAATGCATGTTTTCCAGTGCATGTGGGTAATGAACGTTCCCTAACTCTGTTATTTTACTGTTAATATGACCTCCTTGAAAGTGGTGTAAAAGAGAAAAGAATGAAACCCAATCCCCAAACCACCAAGTTTTTTTTAATCTTGCCAGGGCCATTCTACTACTTTAGAGGCACACGTGCTCCAACTGTACAGAAAAACTCTGCTTTTCAAATAATAGTATATTTAGTACTATGGTATTATAAGGCCTCTAAACCCATCTGAAAGAGAGCTATGGAGAGGCCATACTTTGCAGAGGAGGAGAAGCCTGGAGTTTGATGTGGATAATTCACAATCAGAACTGATTGAATGTGCTGGATAAATTGTATTTTGCAAGTTCTCCCACAGAACAATTTTCTGGAAGTGACAGAGATCGCCTGTTCTGATCCCCGGGGTAATTCCCGCTCCCCCATTGCATGATTCATTGCACTTTAGTGATCTGCAATTTCTAAGCACCTCTGCTATTACCAAGTTTTTCATAATAGCTTTTTCCAGCTTCAGAGTTTTTAACATTCAAAGCTTTTTTACCCATTTAGTGTAGGTGACTCCAGCTCCACACAAGGAAACAGCTCTCTCAGGAAAGCCCATGTAGGAGTTGAGCTGCCTCTTGGAGGAGGAGTGATAATTTTTCATTTTCAGGTCACGCCATAAAAATAATTTTTTGGATCTTACAAGCTCTTTGGAGGCGGAGGGGCCTGAACAAGTGTTTTAGAGGACAAGCAGCAGCAGAGGAGGTACCTGTTGTTTTATGGTGGGGGCACTGTATTCCAGAGAGCAGGAGGGCAGCTGGCTCCAGAAATGAGACACGGAAACACAGCTCTCGCAAGGAGCAGCTGCCCTCTCCTTTACATCAGAGAAGGGTGGCAGAAGAGACCTCACTGAAGATTATTCATTTTCAGTGCCGCAAAAATAGCACGACAACAGTATAACATCTCATTCCTCCCACTTGGAAAAGTTGGAGAGGCAAATTGAATCCAAGTAACTTAGCTAAGAAAGCCTTTAAAATTGCATTTTCTTCAGGAATAAATGATATCATTTTGTTACTGTGAACAAATATTATTTAATCACTTTTATAACTCTAATAATGGAAAATTACAAATACTACTCATATATAAAATGGTAAACTTGAATTTTGAAAGTTTCAGGTCCTAAACTCATGTGAAGGAAAGGAAACGGAAGAAAATCTGACTGTTGAGCCCTGACTGTTCTTGCAGAAATCAACGAGGCGTGCCTCCTTCATTGTCAGAGGAATTAGGAAAAGAAGTATTTTTCCAGGTAATTTTTTCACTATACCCTCTTCTCAGAATGAATCCAAGGTAATTCATTAAGTCTACAACCTCAGATGGTGACCTAAGTTCAGTTCCTGGTAAGTTTGTTCTCCACACAGATGTTGAAAATGGAACCTATTTAAGAAAAAAAAAAACTACAACAAAAAAAGCCACCCCCAAACCCCAATCAAAGCCGTAAACCAAATTTACTCTTACCTCCTAGCAGGAAGCCTCATGATCAAGTTTCATTGAAAGGTAGACATACTGCTTAAAAACTGCTATGAGATATGCATGGAAGCACACAGGTAGCAAATAGTAATTAAAACCCCCAACTATTAAAGACCTCATTAGATGCCCAAACCAAGCAAATTCTGCTGTTTGGAGAGAGTATCACCACCTCTGAGCTTTCCAGCACTGAAATGACCATTGGTCTGCTGGTTAATCAGCATTGCTGGACACATCCTAACCTCTATGCCTTTCAACTTAATTTTAATATTCAATGTGTTTGATACTGCATGTGAGATTGGTTTGTAGGACTACACTCTCATACAGCTTTTAATTGCATAAGCTTAATTAATTGCAATAACTAATGGGAACTCTCTTCAATAGCATCCCTGAGTCAGGTAAGTGTCTAACTGCCTGCAAATCTGCCCTGCAGTAACAAGAATAGATTGACACCTGACAAAAAAGAAGTTCTAGCATCAACCACAATATATGATGATGAAGGTTTAGCTTGGGAAATCAGACCTCTGAGATGCACTTCCATTCTTGTGTCACACAGATGCACTCTGACGGAAAGTTACTTCCACAAGTGTTAGTTTCCATGACAAATAATGTCTGTGTGTGCATGCGTTCATATTCGTGCTCTTACCTCTGCTAATTAGGCATCTGTTCCTTGTCTGTTGGGTTCCTAGTTGGAGAAAAGAAATAGATGCAATTAATAAATAGTCATACATATCAATGATAAATAAGGCCAGTGCAGAATGTCTTTCAAGGGTGAATAATGCACAAAATACATACCTAGGATGAGTCACTTTTTATGTGTTTTAATTCAAATGTGAGTACAGCACATGTCCCTGGGAGCAGGGGAGCAAGAGACATCCATAAAAACAGGCAGGTGTTGTGTGGGAGAAGGACACGAGGTAGATTTTGTACAAATCTTACTTCTAACAGCATGGCTGGTTTTTACTGGTGGCAATTAGGAGAGGCTGAAGGGTACAGGGATATCCAGTTGTCTTGGTGAATGCCTCAGTCAACAGTTTGAGTATAGCCTTGTCTCAGGAAGACCTGATTTGGTGACAAATGGGCCAGAGACTGATTTTTGTTATTTTCTAGATTTTTTTAAATTTAAGCATCATATGAAGCTACAAAATACTTAAGAAACTGGAAATAAGCCAGGGTAAAGATGTAGCTTTGCAAGTCCAATGGACACTATTGTAAACTACAAACAAGTAAGTATTTTCAAGACTAGAGGTCCTGATTGAAATGCATACTGCTCAAGCCATGAAGGAAAAAAATTAAAGAATTTTTTTTATGACTTCCTCCTTCAGGATCCCAAGTTATTTCAGTTTTGCTCACTGGGTACTGGGTTGTAGAGTTCCCACAGATCTAAACCTCAAAATTGGGGTCTTTGTTCATCTTCTTATCAGAGACAATGGAAATGGGTTAGTGTGCTCAAAATTAAGTGCTGCTTTTTTACTTTTCAGGGAACTCTGCTTAGACACTCCCAGCAAACTGGAGTGGCATCAACTGATGAATAAGCAATCTGTTAGCAACTTGGACTGAAAACAAGGTGCAGATGAGGGGTGAGGAATGGAGCCAGACATTTAGGATAGAGAAGGTAATCAATAACCTGCCATTGTGTGAAAGGTGCATAGTGCTCTTTTGAGTGTTTTTTGGATGAAGCCGAGGAAGAGATTTGGTCTTTGGCAGCTGGTTAAGAAAACTTAATTAATTCAGACCTGCATTACTGTCATAGGCATCTACAGAACTGGAAATCAAAATCCAGAAGAAGAAATTCTGTGAAGGATGCCTTTACTGCAGTGGATGACCTGGCTGTTTCCAGTGCCTTTCAGGAGGGGGTCAGTATTAAACAGGCTAGAGCAACAGAGAGCAAAGTTGACATTCTTGGATATGAACGCCACTGTCACTGTAAGTACCTGCTGACTGTAACAGCTAAGAAATAAATGGTTTCAGTTCATTTGCCCATGGAAAAAGCTTTTGACCTTTCCACAGCGGGCCACCTACCTTGCCAAGGATCCCAAGACTGGAACTGAATTGGTCATTTGCTCCACGAGTATATTTGTCATTGGAGGACAGGTAAGCATGTGACATGTTTCTCAAGACCTACCTTCATTTAAAACTATTATGTAAGTTGCTGGTATTGAAATAATAATAATAAAAAATTCAAGCTTAACATTTGCTTAAGGCAATACTGTTCTTCTGAAGTCCATCTGTGTTACAGTTTGTCTTCTGCAGCCTCTATCTTGCTCATTACCTAGCAAGGAAGCAGTGACACCTACTACTCAGTTCTTGCTGCTATGCCAAGAGCAGAGAGAAGAGAGCATGTCATTCCTGGTTTTGATAAGGAATTTTACACTATCCAGCTGTATCCCTAAAGACCAAGCTGAAGGTTCTACAGAGATTAGCTATGAGGGGATATCTAACTACAAGCAATTCAAACCCTCTTATGTAGTTTCTGCAATCTCGCACTTATTTTTAGATGCTGGATGACTAAATCTGTGGGATGTGGCACATAAGGTGCCATCATGTAACTGCAATAGAAGGCAGATTTTGAAACCTCATTTTCAGAAACAGCTAAATGAGATTCACATAGGTAATTCAAATAGCCAAAGATGTAGAGAGGCATCATAGGTTTTTCAAAAATTCCTATGTATGTCCTATGTATGGACATGGAATACATGTGAAAGCTGTATGTTTTTTAAGACTTTAAAGGAAATTTGTTTGATCATCCTTACATAATTGTTGTCTAAGCTGCTCTCATTCACTCTGCTAGTGGACATGCACAAACCCACGGCTCTCAAGCCTTCTCTTATGCTTAAGGGTGTAGGCAAGGAACCAGTTACCACAGAGTAAGCTGAGGACTAACCATATTTCTATGCTCAAGGCTCGTGGGACCCCACAGCAGCAGCACGCCTCCACCTTAGTGTGAGAGCAGCCCACACCTGCCTCTCTGTGGGTGTGTTCTGCCTCTCCTCATCTAGTAATGCCTCCCAGAGGAGACCTAAGGCTGAGGACTTGAAATGCTGAGACATACCTCATCAGCTCAACCGGTCCAGTTCTGTTGCTCTCACCATTCTTCCCTGTCTCCTACTCTGTAGTACTTCACGGTTGGCAAGGCAGCTTTCCAAATAGCATAGGAGCCCCACTTACAGATAAAGCTTCCCATAGGCAATAGGTTACTACCCGTTCAGTACTTCTGTGGTGGCAGGAAAGACGCCAAGGAAAACTTTAAATACCTTAAAAAAAATCTGTGCCACTCACATTTCAAAATGGAGCTTTTGTCCCCAAGTCATTAATGTATTTCCATGAAATTTTATCTAAGGTATTTTTTGTTGTTCTATTGGCTAACACCTTAATTCCCTTCTTGGAAAAAAGATAAGATATTATCAATGTTTATAGGCAAGACCGTATATTTATATTATATAGTAATGAAATAAATCGTTGTCTGTGCCTGTACTTTCTGCAAATGAACATTCCACATGCTTAGTTCTTATTTAGTTGTTCTTAAAATAGGTTTTTGTAGATATTTCACTCCAAGACTGACAGAAATTTTTGCTTGGTGGTTGGTTTTTCTTTTTTTTTGGTGTTACTCAGTCCTATATTAAACTGTTGCAAAATAAGACAAACTTTGAGATAGCATCAAATGTTATAATGGAAGACTGAACCGAGTGCCACTATCATTAATAACTTTCATTACGGTGGAAGCAAGATCAAACTTACCAAGAAACGAAAAATTATGTTCCATACTAATTTATGGGAGATATTGTCTTTTCTCATTAAAATATAATCAAATTCCTTTTCTAGCAGGCTTCTGATGTGATCTTAAATCCTCAATCAAGTCCTCAAAAACTGTCTATGAAAAAGACTATCCAAATCCTGATTTCAAATATGGAATCTGAGAGGGAGGCCTATGTTTTTAAAGGTACAGATGGAGAGTCTGTGTACAGATGTAAAAAACAGAATTCATTAAACAAATCTGAGAAGTGCTAACATCCATACGTACCGCTTTGTTATATGGCGTGTGGAACAAAACATCTCTGAACTGGATGCTGTCTGGTCTGCCTTCCTTAGGAACTACAAAAGAGAAAAGAATGGGATTGTCATTTTTGTTTCAGGCAACTTATGTCTGGACTGAGGTAGTGGTCTTCTAAGATCCTTCTTTACTCTTGCTATCAATAGGGCAAGCTCCAGCTGTAAAGGCAGTTCCATCTTGAAGAAGTTCTTATTTTCTAGAATTTAAATCTTTGATAATTAAGTGCACTGTTGGACAAGTCAAGGGCCTCCATAATGATTCTTGTCATTTTATTTCTGCAGTGCAAAGCTGCATCTCAGGCTGTAAGACAGTGTAACAGAGAGTGGAAAGGTCAGGATCAGAAGAGAACACAGTGATCATTATCTGAGTTACTGGATAATTTCACAAAATTTACAGTTCTGGTGTTGATACTACATTTCTACTTTTACGATTCACTAACGGGCAGCTACAGAGGCAGGACCGACATCAACTTTAAAGAGAACCCTACAAATACTTCCCAAGAATCGCCCCCACGAGCTTTGCCTTGCCTATAGAAAACAGACCATAGGAACAAATGCAGTGATCCCAGGCTCTGAGCACCTTGTGCAGGCGCTTATAGGGACTGAGCCTGTTGACTGCTCAGGATGCTGCACCCCTACCCACCACGGAGGACAATAAACAGTCTGGACTGAACTCGGCCACCAGGGCAGCAAGAATTTCCCTCAATGACAGCATCTCACAAGCCCATGTAACTACAACACTGTCTAACAGAGTAACAAAAGCAGTACTGTAGATTATTCTTCTCTCTTGCAGTAAGGAAATAATACATTTAGGTGACAGTTTTAAATACTGATATACAAATGGGACTAAGTCCAGTGTGAAAAAATAAATACTAAATTTCCCTTCCAAGAACACGTATGTACTAATGTCTATAGAAAACACAGACCTAAAGTCAATACCATCTAATACAAACTTTTCATAACAACAAGAGAAAATCATTTGCAGGAAATGCAGGTGATTTATACTGCTGCAGATGACATTCAATCACAAAGAGAACAAAGCATCTTAAATGACTGACGGTACAGCTTTTATTAATGACTCACAACACTAAGATGCTGTAGCAGTGGAAAATTCATCAAGAATTTGCAAGTGCAAATTGATAGCTGATTTACAAATAAAATATTGAAGCCATCAAGTAAATTGTTCTAAAGAAATGATCTACCCTAATTGTGATGAAGCAGTAGGAAATGGGCTACAGAAGAGCAGAGCCACAAAGACGTGGTAAATTTTCTGCCCCATTAACTCTCAGTGAGCTCATCTTTGGGATGAAATCTCGACCCTGCTGAAGGCCCGATTACACTAAAATAACTGAAGTGTGGTCAGATACAGAAAAAGCTCATTACAAATTCAATGCCCCATCCAAAAATCTGGTTATGCTTTGGATCAGACCTGTGCAATAAATACACTTACAGTTCAAGGCTACAGTGTTCTGAGAGGTAAAGAAAGTGCAACTTACTATTCTGATTTTCCTTTTCCAGTCTGTTTCCGATATTGGTGTCTCTGAAGTGGTACACTTTTTCCTTCAAGTAAAAAACAAGCATAAAACCAGCATCAGAAAAATCAGTTATAGAAATTTACTGTAGAAATAATAACTATAAGAAGTTGGAGTCTTTAGCATTCTGAACACCAAGTTTTTCCCTCTCCAGAAAAATAATTTTAAAAGACTGAAAAAAGTCTCTGATGGCAGGGGGGTTGGAACAACATGATTTTTCAGGTCCCTTCCAGTGCAAACCATTCTATGATTCTAAAAGTAGATGCTAATTTTAGCATTTAGACCTAAGAGCCTTGTGGATTTTTTCATATCAGTAAGTTATATCAATTCCACCGTTAGATTACAGAGGTGTGGGAGTTTATTTTTCTCCTTTTGACAAGTGCTTTTTCCTCAAAAGTCCCAGTGAAGACTTCTCTAAGGTACAAAGCCAAAGCCAAGTCAGACACGCAACGCAAGGTATAAACCACCGCTAGAAAGCAGCTTTTTCCCTGAAGCAGTGAAAACAGGCCAAGTAAATCCTCCTCGGAATACAGGTTTATGACTTAGGGCTGCTATCTTTGTGCAGATTAGATATCACCTTCCTCCACAAGTAATTCCCCTGACTGACAGACCAATACCAGCAATTCCCATCTGAGCGCTTGGCCACGGACAGATTGGGAAGGGGCACCCACCATACTGGGGTGCTGCTGCCGACCAGCCCGGGAACGGGGCTCCTAAACCCTTCTAAGGCCCTTGCACTTCTGCTGCAAAGCCTTCCACTGTGATGGCAAAGCTCATGCTATTTCTTCAATAAATGGAAATACAAGCACTTAACCTCTCCTTGCTGGCAGCATCCAATAGCTCTGCCACACTGTAGAGCAGCAGACTAGCTTTGGGTTTCCTCTTTCTGCCTAAATGCACTTAAAGGACAACAAGAAAATATTTTTAATGCACGACCTCATATAAGATGAGGGCAGAACCTCTCCCTCCAGCTGTCTTGTTAAAAGAAATTAACAAACCTCCTCACCCTGCCTTTCTCCTTGGCCTCTACCTTGGATGCAGTTCTTTCAGCAACTCAGTGTGTGGGCTTGTTTTGTGCACCTCAATTTACTCCATACATTGAATATAAAGGAGCTGAAGAGCAGTGCTGACAATTGGGAATTTCACTGAGTAGATTCAACACTGTCAGAACAGCATAAAGCCTGATGTAAGTCAATATATATTAACAATGTACACTTGAAATAGTTAGGTTCCTGTTAGCCGACACTATTCAATAGCTCAGTCAGTTTGTTCAGCTACAGAAGGTTTGTGATTTCATAAAAGATGCACAGACCTAAGCATCACCAAGCAGTTTAGAACAAAAGTCTTAAAAGATGAACATATTTAACTCAGGATTTTAATCAAATGCAACAGCACCTGAAGTTAGGCAAAATAAATTCAGGGAGCTTCTCAAGTCATCAGACAACAGCGGAAATAGGTATCTAGAAGATTCTGAACCATAAGCAGCAAGTTCCTTGGGAGCTGATGGGCCTATAAATCACTCCTCTTATTTTTGACCTCACATGTAGGAGCCAAAATACAAGTTTGTTTTTTCGGAACTTCTGATCAAGATTCCCTGTCAAGAAACATAAATTTCAGACTCGTACCTGTTGAGTGGGCTGTAGTCTCTGTTTTTCATTCTGCCACTGTTTAAATCTGTCAAGAGCGTCATCCACAGAAATCACCCCCTTTTTCACCTGTTCCTGCAGGTAGATGAGTTCTTCCTGTTGAGCACGGCTGTTGTGTTTCACAGCACCATCACTCACTGCGTCAGGGTGGCCTCTGTGTGCTGCGACAAAAAGTAGAAAGATAAAGGTAGAAAATACTATTAACCCACTTAATTCCTTTCTCTTTATGACACAAGCACTTTTTTCAACAAAGGTGTGTAAGCAGTGATTTCATAATCTGACATCAATAAAATGAAACTGTCTTTAGGGTGGCTCCTCCCGCGCCCCTTCACAGAATCACAGAATTGTGGTGGTTGGAAGGGACCTCAGAGATCATCGAGTCCAACCACAAAAAAAAAAAAAAAAAAAAAAAAAAAAAAAAAAAACAAAACAAAAAAAACAAAAACAAAACAAAACAAAACAAAAAAAACCAAACAAACCACCACACCACCTAAACACACAACAACAACCAAACCAAAAATCCATCACCCACCCACTCAGCAGCCCACGACAAACCAATAATCTTGGGCACTAGAGCATGCCCTGAAGAACCATGTCTACACGTTTCTTAAATACCTCCAGGGATGGTGACTCCACCACGTCCCTGGGCAGCCCATTCCAATGCCTGACAACCCTTTCAGTAAAGAAATGTTTCCTAATATCTAACCTGAATTTCCCCTGGCATAATTTGAAGCCATTGCCCCTTGTCCTATCATCTGTAACTTGGGAGAAGAGACCGACCCCCGTCTCTCTACAGCTTCCTTTCAGGTACTTGTACAGAGCGATAAGGTCGCCCCTCAGTCTCCTCTTCCCCAGACTGAACAACCCCAGCTCCCTCAGCCTCTCCTCGTAAGACTTGTGCTCCAGACCCCTCACCAGCTTCTGTTTGCTTTTGTTTGTTTGTGTTTTTTTTTCTTTTGTTTTTTCAAAGCTAGAAATGTAAGAGATCAATGAGGATTCTACCATTACTCTTTGGCAGGAGAGCAGCATCTTAAACATTTCATTCATTGCTATTGCCCTGATCCATGGATTCTCCGTTAGTGTCAGATCAAGTAAGAATTTCCTTCTAGCACTGAAGGTACAGTACTGACATTTCAAGGAAATCGTTGCTGTGTTAAGACAACAAGTACCCACAGTGCCTTTCTTCTCCTTCCATCTCCAACTTCACACATTATGTTTCTCAAAAGCTGGGGCTGAAATTTGGTTCAGAAAGCATTTTGAAATTTCACATGATTTCCTTCCCCCAAATTATTCAATACAGTGCAGTGACATGAAGACATTGCAGCCGAGTCCTCCCAGGGATGACGGTTCAGGTGCAGAACCGAAGGGGAACGAGAGGGAGACGTGTCATCAGGCTCTCAGCTTGGACCAGGGAGGTGTAGCACCGCGTGTCTCCAGGACACTGACACTGAAATGGCTGATTTTCAAACACACGAGCAGCCCAGCGTGAGGCTGCTGCAGAAGTGCCATAAAGCACCTGTTTCACTGCACAGAGAACACAGCCAGGATAAAAGTTTAAACCCTAACTACGATTTGGGTCAGTTTTTCTGCTGTGTTACGCAACAGTATCTTTATTTTAAGAGAGGAAGGACTGTGCAAAGAGAAATATACCAGGGAAGTGAAAAATCAGCTACTGTGGCTTCTCCCACTCCCTCCTTTTGGTCATACGAGCACATATTAGGCATCAAATTCTACTCTTTTGCATCTCAGCTAAATGTTTATATTTTGATGGAGTAATGACCCTAATGCCTTGCATCTGATGAGATGCTTTGGAGATCAGATCGGTTTAGGTAAAACTGCATTCGTCACATCAGCAAAAGAGAGTGTATGTATTTCCTCAGACCCATAAATACTACTCTTTTGTGTCAGAGACTCATAGAACAGTTTGGGTTGGAGAAGACCTTTAAAGGTCATCTAGTCCAACCTCCCTTGCAATGAGCAGGGACATCTTCAACTAGATCAGGTTGCTCAGAGTCCCAACCAACATGACCTGGAATGTTTCAAGGGATGGAGCATCTACCCCATCTCTGGGCAACCTGGGCCAGTGTTTCACCAGCCTCATTGTAAAAAACCTTCTTCCTTAGAGCTAGTCTAAATCTGCCCACTTACTCGTCCTGTCCCTACAAGCACTGCCAAAAAATTTGTCCCCATCTTTCCTGTAGCCCCCTTTATGTACTGAAAGGCCACAGTAAGGTCTCCCCAGAGCCTTCTCTTCTCCAGGCTGAACAACCCCAGCTCTGTCCTTTCTTTTTCTTGGGTTTAATCACAATGGGGGAAGGAAACAGAAAAGCGTAAAGTAACTCTGAGTCTACAAATCTTTCCCAGAAGGCTGTAACTTTTATTTTTCTTTAATCTGATCTCTGAATGCTGCAATGCCATTAAGGATATAAATCACATGTGGGAACATAGATGCTAAATCAGTCAAAATCAAGTCACAGCAAATCTCTACTAGTTCTATTGAAAAGCATCAAGGCAGTTAAAGACCTAAATTAAATTCCTTACCGAGCTTCCTGGCATCGCAGTACGTCCTGTCGTGGTCGCTGGGCACTCGAGTGGCCTTTTGCTGAAACACTACAACAAAAATAAGAATATGAGGAAGTTAGTGAAAAACGGCAATAAAAGAACATCACGTTCTGAACGAAAGGAGGCGGCTCATGAAAGCAGGCTGGAATAAATTGCTTGTTCTAGCCTAGGAGTACTCAACTCACTTGTCAGTCTAATGCTAATTACTTGAAAAATTGTTCAGTTGCACAGAATGGGAGGATTACTGATATTACAGATACCATGACAAGAAGCTTTGAAGAAAATAAAATAGATGTATCACATTAACATATTGTTTAGAAAAAACAACTAGATCTCTGTGTCCCTCACATAGTACAGACACCTACTGCAGCCTGTTTCTTATTTTATGGGGAAAGCTAAGGCAGAAAACCCCAGCAGTACTAGGTGAGAATAATGACAATGCTTCAGAAAGAATACCTGTATATTTTTGTCTGCTTTAGTCAAGTTTTAGGAACAGCAACGCATCATCACTTACTCCATTAGCGCAGCCCATCACCCCCATTCCTGTAAGATGCCCAGAGTAGGGCCAATCTGGATCCATCCCAAAATGCTGCACTCAAACTTCTGTTGGCAGCACGTGGAAAACCCAGCAGGTGGGAACGGCTCATAGCCAACGTGCCAACGGAGCAAATATTTGCTTGGGGACCAAGCTTCTGGCTCCTGCTGCCCAGGGAGACCCAGTGGACCTTGGTTTGCTCCTTGTCTGCCCGCCCAGGCTGCCTTGTACAATGAGTCCACTTCTCTCAGGGAAGCTGGAAAAAGGGATGATCAAGGGTGCTGTGACATCTCAACTGCTACATGCAGCGCTGAGAAAGGAGCAGTTCCTAAGTGCAGAATAAAGTCTTTACGCTAAGTCCCGAGTAGGCTTGTGTGGAAGGTGATGGTGAATGAAAACAGCTGGGGACTTGATGTTCCTTAAAATGTCCTCAGGCTAAATGGAGAACACTAAAAGAGTAAAAGAACTCTACAGGCAGCACACTCTGCCGATGTTATGTCCCTAACTTCAGCCTAACGCTGACAGATTTTAACTGTTGCCATACTCTTCTCTGGAATTCTCAAAGAATCCCGCTAAATACAGTTGCAGTGTTCTCTTCTGTACTTGAAATAATATTCTCTTTTTAAAGAAGAAGTTAAAGTAGCCAGAACACAGAGGTAATGCAGGCAGCCTGAATTTCACTGCATGAGGAGGAAAAGGGATAAACTCAACCACGTCCCTGATTGGAAAGCACTTTAATTGATGGGCTTTACAATTTCTGCTGAGTTTTGCAATGTTGGAGTAATCAGAAATGGAATTACTCTTCCAGTTCAAAGTAGAATTGTTAAAACCGCTTTACACGCCGCATCTTGCTGAAATTATTTTAGTTGGCAGCAAGTGTTCAGTGTGGGTGAGGTCAAGGAAAACAAATTCCTGTTTCTGGAATGCCCGGAAAGACGTACGCACACACCGCGGTACGGCTGCCACAGGCTTAGGGACGACTCCAGCAATTTACTCTTTCATTCCCACATTCCAATTACTTACCAACTGCTTGACTACACTAGTGCAATGAAACAAACAGGTAATCTTGCACAGGGATATATTCTGTTATTTCTTATGGAAGATAAAGTGGATATTCCTTCAGTAAAGCCATATTAATATAGCAATTTTTTAAAGGGTCAGAATACCACAGTCCTTCAACTGTGGAAGAATATATATTTTTATATTTTCACAGCCTCTCTGCCATAAATAATCCCATTTAAAAGTTGCAGTACTTCTATTTTGCTTTTTTACTTAATGTACACCCTTCAATAACATCTGTATGATCAGAAGGACAGTTCTTTTGAGCTTTTAATCACATTGTGACTGGCTAAAGTACCCACAGATGCTTGTAATCAAAATCTACAAATCATAGTCCTGACCTGCTATTTGCTATATAACTTTTATAATTTTTGTCTACGATTTATCTCCTCTCTCAGTTTCTTAGAATTAAAGGAGGCAGAGAGAACTACTAAGTAATTCCACTTAATTCTCTCTCATCTCTTCAGTTGCTACAGGACACAGATGAAGTTCTTTGCATGCCCTAAATACATTTTTATGTCTTAGGTAGTAAGATTGCTTTTTAGGAATATAATGGAACCTCAGTATTTCTCCAGAAAAGCCAACTCAGAGAGTAAGAAAGTACCGCAGTATTTTCTAGTAGGACAAGAAGCCAGAAAACAACATTTCAAAAATGTGACAAACCACAAATTTTGTGGCAAATATGCAGAACTCTGGGAAAATCCCTAACAGAAGGCTGGGAAAGTGAGTGGGATCCAAGGAGCTCTGAATTGCCTTTTTTATCTCTTTTCTATCAGACTAGCTACAGATGTTGTTTCAGGCTGTCTGCACATGCAGGTAAATAACCTTATAAGACTTAAAACGTGATTAATATTGTTTTCACCACAAATAGAAGGGCTAGAAACATTTGAAATCTAAGTTTCTTGTGTATAATTCTGTACCAAGAAGAACATGTTTTAGTCAAGAAACTGTGATGAATATAAAGGGTCTAGAAAGAGAATGGAATTTTTTACAATAGCTGCAGGTTGACAAAAAGAACAGGCATTTGATTTTTCAGAATTAATTGAGGTTCTAACACAAAGCTGTGACGGTGAGGATTCACAGATGCACTACCACATTTTAAAAATTGCTTAGCGATAGACCAGTAAGAAGTGATACAATTAGAACCACAGGCAATCAAAGGGCAGAAAGCATTACATTATGAGAGAGGACAACTCATATCAGTTAAGAGACAATGACCAACCAAGATACAGTTTCTAATTTACATTTTACTTTGCCCATCTAAACTATGGGGGATGTTGCCTAATGTGTTGTATTAGCAACATTATCTCTATAAATCAAACAGCAGTGTGCCACTGTACACTTGTCCTAGTTTTGGCTGGAATAATTTTCCTCCTAGAAGCTGCCCTGGTTTGGATTGAGTGTGAGAACACTGCTGATAACGCACACCGCTTTAGTTGTTGCTAAGTGATGTTTACGTTAGTCAAGGACTTTTTCAGGTTCCCAAAGCAGCTGAGAGGGAGTCCAGACAGGACAAGCTGACCAAAGGAATACTCCACACCATCCACATCATGCTCAGTGTATCAGTGGGGATCAGCTGAGACAGGACAAGCTGGCCAAAGGAATACTCCACACCACCCACATCACGCTCAGTGTATCAGTGGGGATCAGCTGGGGTGCAGGAGAAATCCGCTACGGCTGCTCGGGACCGGCTGGGCAACTCATCCTCGGGTGGTGAGCAATTGTATTGCATCACTTTTTGGGGTATATTCTTGTACCATAATTATTATTTTCTTTTTCATTACTGTTCTATTTAACTGCCTATATCACAACCCATAAATTGTTTTGTTGGTTGGGTTTTTTCTCCTCCCTCTCCTCCCTACCCTACTGGAGGTGGGGACTGGTCGGGGGAGTGACCAAGTGAGCGTGGTCATTCCGCTGGGCTCAAACCACAACCACTAATGATTCCATTAAAGCTACACCCAGGAATACCACTTCTTCTCTGGAAGAAGACGTGAGCTACTCATACTAACCTACTTACTCAACAAACACAAAGGAGAAAAGACACAGCAAAAATAAAAAATAATTAAAAAAAAATAATCAATAAACATCACTAATTTGAATTCAGTTCGCTTAGAGAAATTCAAGATGCATTTTTCATCAGGTCCATTGAGCTGATGTTCCAAACAAAATTACCTATCACCGTGACCATTTTATTTAGGAAACATTCAAAATTAAAATCCAGGGGAACAAAAATCTTTATAGAAACACAAGGCTAAGTGATAATGCAAATTAATTAATACACTAGGGTTGCACTTATTAACACATCTCAACTCAGTTGCAAATTACAGCGAGTTTGTAAGCTTCCTCCTTGGTCTTAGTAGGTTTTTGCTTCATTCATTTTAGAATTGCCACACAATTAACTCACGATTAACGGAGGACTGGAGAAGGAGGGGTGAACTGCTAGTTGGGACAAGTTGCGGGGAGAGGCTCCTATCTTTGCCCACTCCATTTTTTCCCCATTATTTAAACATTTTAACATTTAAGCTGTGTGTGCATAGTACCCAGGCAAATAAAACTTGCGAGTTCTTTTTCTGGTAGGGATTAGACTGTAAATTAGATGTAGCACAGCAAGGGATGACAAATACACAGAGAATACTAAGGAAGGAATATAGTAGAATGATGCTTATTATTCAGGAGATGAGAACTCTGCAGATGTTTGTTCACATCTTTTTAGGTCTCATTTTCCTTTTGTCTTTTTGTTTGCTAATGCACATCAGCATGAGGAATAGACAGAGGTCACCAACACAATGCTAACCCATACGTTTTGGAAGGATGATTGAGGGCCACTCCCAAAATTTATACAAAATATCTCCCATATTTAAGATTTAAACAAAAAATTCTAGTGATTCATAACATGAAATCAACTAGGGAAATGGGACTCTGTAAACAGTATGGCCTTTTCTATTTTTCCAAGGCAACGTAGCTAAGCCCAGAACAAAAGCTGCATGGCTCTGGTCTGGTTAGGTCCGAGCCTTGTGGAGAAGGGATGGCTGGGCTGTGCAAGGTGACAAAGGCTCAAGTCCCAGAAGCTGTCCTGTCATGGCACCACAGGTGTCTGAATGCACTTACACTGTCAGAAGGCAAAGGGAAAAAAAGACTGTCCAGTTTTGACTGCACTGGTGTGAGAAAACCAGTGACCAAATCTAAACTGGCAGAGAAGTTCTGATCTGTCCTAAATGCGCTGCCTGACACTCAAGGCATTTCTGAACACACAACAGTCCTTTCATCAGAATAAAGCCTCGGTGATGCCAAATGCAGTGGCAGAAATACCAACTGGCCCCACTGCTCTGTTAATTCAGTGGCCCAGTGCACGCTGCCCCAGCTTTTCAGCTCCAGCATCGCGTCCTCTCATCACAGCTTCTCCAGGCTGTTGTCAGCCCCTGCCTTCCACAGCCACATAATTAGTCAGCCC